TCTTCCCTGCGTCATATTAAAAATTGAAGTGTTGTTAGTGTTTACTTGACTGTCTCGTTATAATGATCGTAAACGCGAAAAGTAATCATGGAAGAGGTTCCGGGTTCGATTTCCGGGTCGAAACAAAATCAGTTATTGGGTTTTTCTGTTAAGAAATTTTCAGTAGCAGCCCGGAGTCAGGATCTTTGCGGTGTTTTACCCACCCTGCTCTGTAAGTACGTAAAGCTGTTGGTCCTGCTTCTGATCTCTCTGGTCGTGTCGGATTATCGTCTCATCGGATTGTGAGTGAGGGATTCGTGAGTGCAACTGTACTTGTGCATTCACTCGGGCATTATAATCTTGTCTTGCTCTAGTTAATGTACTATGTTAGATTATAATATATTGTGAGATTGTGTTGTGATAATAATTAAATAATAAAATTTGTTTGGAGTCGATAACATAATTCATTCTTAAGATACGAGTCGAAAAAAAGTCACAAGCACAGACTTCCTTTCAAAACAATAGAAACGAACTCCGACTGACCGAAAATCGGGCCCATTACAATATCCTCCACATGAGGATTTACGCAAGGATTAAGCGGATGTTTTTAAACGAAGCAATGCAGCAGGTGATGTTGTAAAAGAGTACTGCAAAGACTTTTTTTCGAGTTTCATTCCGAAAGATAAGGGATAAAACAAGAACTTGTTAAAATTTACGATGATTGGTGGATTTTTCATTAAACTAAATAATTCCGGATGAAAATGGTCAATTTCATTATAAGAAAGAAGCAATCTTGGCACAGAAATTTAATGGTATTATATAAGGTGGTAGGGACTCCCTCCACGTCTAGGACCCTGTTAGGGTACGTCTTTTACCAATTGCTGCTGCCTTCTAGACTTTAAAGTTCTTTTGTGACCTTAGTTTAATAAAAAATAAAAATTATCGGATGTAACGAAATTTTTGACGCAAATACCTAATCTGCTAGTACTAAATTAACGTTTCTCAATCACTTAATGTAGCAGCAGTAACAAATTTATTTAACAAGAATTTTCTTGATAAATATTACGAAATCGAGGGTTCTTAGAAATGCGTGATTATTGAGAAAGATCTTTTAATCTAAGTAATAATTATAGAGGCCATCCTTTCCTTTGTAGAGCATATAACATGTGTGCTTAATAAAAGTAGCAACCTAAAATGGATTTTAGCTGTTGACACTGGCCACTGAGACAGAAATTCGGTCTAGAGATAATAAAAAAGATAGTACGCCGTGCAATAGTGATGTAAGAGAATCCTCTCTGGCAAATGTCAGTAATATCTCATGGCCATCCGTTCGTTAGATTGAGATATAACCATTTTTTTTACGCCAGTCGTAAAATACGAAGACCGGGGGACCGACGGGAAACAGCGTCAAAGGCGCGATACGGCTGATATTGCGATTTCCAATCCGCCTGTCAAGCTAATGTTTGCTCTTTATCGTTTATAGTACAACCTCCCTCCTACAGGAGAGACCCACGTGCAGCAATAGATTTTACAGGCTGATGAAGAAAATACAGAATAAAATGTTACTGTTGGAAGTCCGAACTCCTCTAGAGGGGATGTTATGGTCTATCAGTATTCATTATTAAAATCACACACAACCGCAAATATCATCATCGTCAGCGTCATCTTTTCAGCCCGTCACAAATTACTGCTTATATAACATTGTTCCATTGGTAGGAACCAGCGCTTATCTTTTTACAATCCTAATAAGTAACTTAGCAGAAACATTCACCAAGCTAAAAGAGCAGAAGTATCCGCCACGCTAGAACAACAGCGTGGCAGTTATCAGTTTATATATTACATTTTATAATTTAATTCCCAGCGTTGGCGTTTGTTTCATTCACTAGCAAGGACGTGAGATATCAGCAGATAAAACTGCAATCGCAAATTGATTGCCACAACGAAATTTATTGCCGCACGAAATAAATTTTGCGACGTGGAATAAATTCCTTGTCGGCCTCAGCAGCTCAAAGATTAAGCGTTCGGCGAAATTACATATATACGAGCAACCAGGGTTTGATACCTGCCGGCCATAAAATTTTTCATTGTTATAATTTTAAGTGCTGATTTGTCAGGTGCTTGGCGATGAAGGGAAACATCGTGTGGAATAAAATATTTCGAAAAATGAGCAGTGGTACGTTCAAAAGCTGTAACTGTATTTTATTATTTTTTAGTTTTTATAATTTATTTTAGGCTCTTTATGAATTTATTCTCACTTTATAAAACGTGCGTGATGTTTTTAGACGGTGTTTTCCCCGCCGGATACCGCCACGGAATAAGATGGCAGGGCTCGTAAAGGACGACGGCCAATTCGTACCTGACAGCGTCCCGATATATCATTATAAACGAAAAAATCCGTTATGTATTAGAAAAAATAAGGAATTGTGCCGGAAAAATGTTTTGATGCCTTTTTTTATTACGTATGAATTTTATTAAAATTAAAAACTAGCGAGCCGACTGACGTCGCCTGTGTGGGATCTATTAATTATATATATATTAAATTTTGTTTTTTTTTTTTTAAATAATCTTCAATGACCAATTAAGTATTTTACATTTTTTTCCATTTCACACAAAAACTCAGTTTCTCAGAGATGTATAATATAGCTTAGATCCCTCCTGGCATTACTCACTATCTGCTTGTTTAGTTTCATCACAATCGGTTCAGCCACTCCCAAGACTAGGCCGGGCAGACACAAGGACAGGAAAAATGTTTTACAAACCGTTATTTTTTTCAATGACGTGAAAATAAGCCCTTGAGCTCAATAAATAACAGTTATTTTAACATTACAGTCAAGCACTTCTATTTTATTTATATATAGATGTATAGTTTATTTAAAATACATACATAATGCTCTGAACAAACCTAAAAAGCTTTTATTTGACACATGAAATGTCTTAGTACTTAAATATTATGATTATTCTCTTTTGTCTAAGCAGTTATTAACAAATGTTGAATATATCTAATAAACTAGTGCTGTTCTTAAGTTTCCAGACCAACAGAGAGAGAATCCTAACCAAAACCATTCTCAATAATTTATAGTACACTTAAAATAATTTGCAACCAACAAGATGGTTTTTGGTGCATGTGTGCATCCAGCAGTGCATTACTATGTGATGTAAAAGAATAAAGAAAGATATGTGTTTGTGCGTGCATGCGAGTGTGTTAAAAAGTTAAGCATGGTTTGGGTGCCACTTAAAATGTAAAAGGAAGCTTACTTATTAACAGAACTATTGGATGTTGTGCACATATTACACACATATTGCACACTTCTTACACACTAGTGCAATATCAGCACAAACAGTATTACTTAATGCTATAGTTAGAAGTTTTAGTATGATACAGGTATTATTTATGGTTATAAGAGATATAATATGGTCAAATAATATATTAATAAAAAAATACAGATTTTCTTTATCATATACCCCAACATTACACTAACAAATACATTTTAAATTGCTATTATCCATATATATATATATATATATATATATATATATATATATATATATATATATATATATATATATATATATATATATATATATATAATATTAATTTAGATGACAAAGTGACAAATTGAAGAGACAAAAAGGGACAAAGGATCCAATTGGCTCAGGACCATCATTTGTGGTCTATGGGGAAAATTTATGTTCACCGGTAGACTTATGAAAGGCTTTAATTATGATGATAATGTTAATTTATACAACAATTATGGTTCATATACATACAACTAATAACATTCTTTATAATCACTTAAATCACAAATCTTAGGAAACATATTTTTCTTCACTATTCATTTGCATTTATCAGCTTATTTACTAACATGGATTTATTATTTATCATTTAGATCAGTGATTCCCAAAGTGGTCTATATCGACCCCTAGGAGTCTATGACAACATGCAAGGGGTTACTTACATCATACTATTTTATAATATCAAAACATATGCTTTATTTATAAAAGATTTATAGTTTATTTTATATTTATTTAATGTTACGTATATTTTACATAACAGATACAAAATTTTATTTTGAGTAGTTTTAATTTAAATTCAATTGATAAATGTATAAATTAACATGTGTTTTTACTTTAAGTTTTTAACACTAAACTTCACTACAGTTAGAAATTTACAGGAAATCAATATCAGGTAATTAAGGGGTCTACCCAACACAGAAAAACATGGCAAGGGGTATACGACACAAAAAAGTTTGGGGAACTCTGATTTAGATAAAGGTCTATGATGGATTTTATGAAGCAAATTAATTATATATTTGTACATTTACATTATCAAATCTAGCTCAAGGTGGAATATATATATATATATATATATATATATATATATATATATATATATATATATATATATATATATATATATATATATATATATATATATTATCAAAGATAATAAAGAAAGTCTCAGGGATAAGAAAAGTTAGTTAAAGCAAAAACCATACCAAAATCCAATGGCCAATAATAACACTGAAGGAAGGTTGATCATCAGTCTGAGGCTAAATCCCCCCCCCTCAATCCGGAGTCCCCGTGACCATGGGGACCAAAGCACCCGAAACGTTAGCAATTAAAAGTAGTATTAAATGCGATAAAATCTGTAAAAGCGGTTTTATGCAATGTGTAGCGTTCGCATAAATATAAGAAATTATAGAATAGCTTACTTTTACTTTATTTTATATTTAAATATTAATACTTCAAGAAACAATATGCACGAATAACTTATTAGCTCTAAAGGATTTGTTTAAATTATTTAAAATAACATGTACCATGAGGCTCGAGAGACAAGGTGTTCTTTGTTTCGAATGTAAATTCGCGTTTGAAAAAGTTATTACAAATGTGAAGTACAGATTTATTTTTATAATTTTAAAATAATCATTGAAATTTACTTGTACATTCTTTACAATAAATTGCGTAATAAACAACACTGGAGATAGTAATTTTTTGGAGAAAATAATATTTATTTTACTTACTTCTTCTAGTGCGTTGATAGTCTGACGACATTGTGGCATACGCGATACGAATGTTGAAGTAGTTGGTGAACTGTAATCTTCTCGTGTTTCCTCAATAAATTCACCGATACCAATAAGACCCGGCATGATGACCACAATCACACAAGCCCACACAAATAAAAGTCAACTTTCACATTCGCTCACGATATTTACTCACTAAATTTGGAAAACAAAAACAGGAGATAAATTAAAGGCATTGCGATAGATTGAAGACTTCAAGTTTAGTGCAAATAAAAACAATTTCGCATACAAGATTTCAACAAAACACACCCACCCCAGAAATCATGTATAAACTGACTAACCACAGAGTACTTTTTTTTATTGCTGACTAACAACACAGAGTAATTTGCAGTGCTGCCATCAAAAAGATTTGAGTTGCTGTAGGTCAGAGTATGATTTGCCCGTTTGCCGTATTTTAAGGATAAAATTACTAAATTGTCGCATTTTTAATTTAAAAAATATCTGTTCCTCATTTCTTTCTTCTCCTCAAAGGTGTCTTATCATTTCTATCACTTCAGATTCATATTCATGTTTATTTAGTAAGTATTTGTCTTTGCTTCTCAATTTTTTACTAATTTTATATTTTTTTTCATTAACTTGTGCATTAATTGAATGTAAATGTTATTTATGATAAAAGTTAACTTTATTTTAAATAATCTAATAGAAATCACTCACTTATCATAATATAAAATTTTGCACACGTTTTAATATAGTGTCATTAACTAGGTAATAATGTTTATTTCGTAATCAAATTTAAAAAAAAATTTGCTTAAGCATTTTAACAAACGTGATAAATTTTTGAGGTGTATGTATATATAAGATACTATCACAACATTAAAAATAATAAATTATAATCAATTAGAAATTCGATTGGATAAAGAAGAGTGTATCTCTCGTACCCAGCGCAGTTTTATGAAGCCTTGTCTCTGTTCCATTTTTTACTTATGTGATACATATGTTTCGTTTCATTCATTACACTAGCGAAAATACGTTTCGTTTAACCTTATGACCAATTATCGTATCTTTTGATTTTATTTTTCCCTTGTATTTGATGCCGCACCCATGCAATATTTTCTAAAAAAAGTGGATGGCCGTATCAATGCCAACTTACTTTGAATACCTAAAAATAAAATGGAAACGACTGACCAAAGATTGTAGAAAAGTACTGTAAATAATAAATCTGTGCTGTACGTAGCATACACACTATCGTACGCGCATCCAGCGAACTGGATGTAATAGAACTTCAGTGTATATTACTCTACTCTATGAATATAATTAATTAAATGATCGCGCGTATTTTATTTATTTAAAATGCTTGATATGATGAGAACCAGGATTGAGATAACTGACAAGCGTAAAAGAGGCGAGAGAGTTGTTTTGTATGCTTGTGTAAATAATGTATACGTGGTAGAGCCATGTTGCAACTATATTAAGGTTGCAGCACAAATGGGTCGGCTCGACTGTGGTAGGACCACGCTCTCACAGAATACCAGTGTAAAATAGCAGCTTAATGCCGCTGTGTTTCGTATGGTGAGTGTAGAGAACCGGAGACCCTTTTTACTGGAAACTAGGCATTCCACCTCAGTCCTCAGGGCTGGCAACGCATCTGCATTTTGATTTTTAATTAAAGATAAATGTAGATATCTATGAGCCACAGCATCCACTTACCATCAGGTGGACTGTGTGCTCGTTTATCATCCTTATTAAAAAAGCAGTTTTATCAAAACGCCAAAAATGGGAGTTCTGATGTTGTCAGCAGCAGCAAAAGAGAGGAAAAAAGTAGGAAGAAGTGAAAAATAAAAGTTTAGCTGCTTCATCATCATCATTACAGTCCTTCACAAGTCCACTGCTGAACATAGGCATCCCCCAAGGAATGCAACAAAGCACGGTCCTGAGCCACCTCCATCCATTGACTCCATCTAGTGGGGGGTCGCCCTACTCTACGCCTACCGGTACGAGGCTGCCACTCGATAACCTTTCTTCCCATCGGTTATCGGTTCTTCGAGCTATATGGCCGGCCCATTGCCACTTCAGCTTACTAATCCGCTGGGCTATGTCGATCACTCTGGTTTTACTGCGGATATCCACATTTCTGATTCTATCACGCAGAGAAACTCCGAGCATAGCCCTCTCCATGGCTCGCTAAGCGACCTTGAGCGTCCTCATACGGCCAGCAGTGAAGGACCACGTCTCAGATCCGTAAGTTGGAGTTTAAGAAGAAGTGTCGTAATTTCCCGAACGCTGCCCAACCAAGTTGAATCCGTTGATTGACCTCTCGATCGAAGTTGGACTTACCTAGTCGGACTATTTGTCCCAGGTGACACGTACTCGTCAACAACTTCGAGCATAGTGCTCCCAACAACTACCGGCATAGGTGTCACATGGACATTAAACATGATCTTTGTTTTGTCCACGTTCATCTTAAGACCTATCCGTTGGGAGACACCATTGAGGTCATTGAGCATAGTGCTAAGGTCCTCCAGCGATTCTGCCATAAGGACTATATCGTCGGCAAATCGAAGGTGAGTGATGTACTCGCCATTGATGTTAATACCATATCCTTTCCAGTCCAGTAGCTTGAAAACGTCTTCCAACGCAGCGGTGAAGAGTTTCGGGGATATAACGTCACCCTGCCTTACACCTATCTGCAGTTGGATTGGTTTCGTACTGTACAATACTTCTACTGTACAAACACTTCAGCACTTCGATATACCGAGAGTCAACTTGGCACCACTGAAGAGACTGTAGCACCGCCCGAATTTCGACGGAATCAAAGACTTTCTCGTAGTCCACATACGCCAGGCAAAGTGGCAGATTGTACTCTTCTGACTTCTGTACAATATGTACTATGTACATACCCTTCCGAAGTATGTATGTGGTCTATGGTACTAAAGCCTTTTCGGAAACCGGCTTGTTCGGGAGGCTGGAAGTCGTCGAGTCTACGTGCGAGATGATTCGTAATCACTCTCGAAAACAGCACGTAGACGCGGCTCAGAAGGGAAATCGGTATGTAGTTCTTCAAGAGATTTCTTAAAGAACAAGACCACTACACTTCTGCTCCACGCCTCCGGAGTAGTGCCACCATGGAGGACGGCATTGAAGATCTTCTGAAGGACTTCAAGTACCGGTGTCCCACTCACTTTCAGAAGCTCCGCTGTAATTCCATCCTCGCCTGGGGCCCTGCCGTTATTAAGGTGCTGGAGAGCCGTTCTAATCTCGCTCAGACTGACGTCCGGGATATCATCGGAATAGTGTCGGATAAGACTTGCTCTTGGAGCGTTACTCACACTTGCGTGTGGTTCCAACGATGATGTGTACAGCTGTCCATAGCACCTCTCAATCTCACTCAAAATCTCAGGTGTCCCGGAAACGATGCTGCCACATTCAGTCTTCAGTTTTGACAGTTGGTTCTTTCTGGCTCACAGATCTCTGACAAAGACTTTGGAGCCCTGCTTCCGCTCGATCGCTTCTTTAATACGAGCAGTATTAAAGTTGCGTATGTCTCGCCGCATGCATTTGAAGATCTGTCGATTCAGTTGCCTGTATGCTGCCAAATCTGTTGATGATTGCAGCCTCATCTCCCGTCTAACAGCCATGAGATTAAGAGTGTGATCGGAGAGTTTTTGTGTTCTTCTGCGGCGGGTCTTGCAGAACTTAGCTCCGACCGCATGGATAGTTTCCACGAGCTTGTCATTCATATCGTCCACTGCATTGCAATCTTCTAGGCACTGAAAGCGGTTACGTACCTCGAGCTGAAAGCTTTCGGGATTCTGGATTGGAGCACGAGGGGGACGGAACGTTGACTTCATTAGACGAGACCTCTCCAACTTAACGTTTACGTTCAGTGTGCCTCTAAGCATTCGGTGATCACTGCCAGTTTTCACCCTTGCGATCACTGAGACATCACTAAACAGTTTTTTAAAGAATATTAACAATGTTATAAACATTACTAATATTCCCCTTAACCACTTGTGGTAAGCTTAAATTGCTTGTGTTACGAGTGGTTCACGCCAGTAGTCGAATGGCGGATTCGAACCCACGACCTTTTTGAGTTCGCGGTCCGCGTCCTGCCATTAGGCTACTGTCGCTTAATAGTTGGCGTCTGGTCGTCATAATGAAATCAATCTCATTTTTGTCGAACCGTTGGGGCTCGACCAGGTCCACTTCCTGTGGGGCCGCTTCTGGAAGAAAGAGTTCATCATAAAGAGTCCCCCTTTCTCTATAAAGTCGGCCAGCTGCTGGCCCCTTCGGTTCCGTTGTCCTACTCCAAATTTCCCTAACTTCAGCTCATCATTTTCTCTTGTGCCTAGTTTTGCGTTGAAGTCTCCCATTAACACCGTATAGTGAGTTTTGGAGGAATGCATAGCTCTAGAAATGTCCTCATACATTTCCTCCACCTCCTCATCGGGATGTGCCGAGGTTGGTGCGTAAACCTGTATGACCTTCAGCGAATACCGTTTGGTGATTCTGAGTACCAGGTACGCGACCCTCCTTGACACACTCCCATCATTACAACGTTGATGACGAGAGACTTGTGGACGATAAATCCGACACCTCCTTGGGACAGATGGTAGCCCTCCCGGTGATAGAACAAGTTGCCGGACTCGAGGATTACCGTGTCCTCCCCTCTCTTCAGACCTCGGATAATCCAATAATATGCCAGCGCAACTTGTCTGCCTCTTCTTCCAGCTCCAGTATCTTGTCGTCAGTCCTCAGGGTGCGTGCGTTATATGTTGCCAGGTCGAGTCATCGTAGGTGGCAACCGAACCTCCACCGGAGATTCTTAGCACCCCCTGCCCCGCCGTTACCATGGTCGCCACCGTAGCCAGGAATAGCGGGGCCGCCGGGGACTGGGGGCCGTTTGTTTGCGTCGTTATTCATGGGGGGATATTTGCCAGCATTTAGCTGCTTACTAAATTTTTAATTAATATGTTTTGTACTTTGCGCTCTCTGCACGATAAAGTCTTTAATATTTAAATAGTATCTACTTTATTATTACCGCATTTCTTTAAGTGAATTATTACTTTTTATATCGGATCTTGATTTTTTTTTGTTTAAAATTAAATGTAAATCTTTAGAGGGATACCTAAACATTTTTTTGTTAGTAATATAATGGTGAAACGTGAGATTATAAGATTATTTCTTCCATTTATCATGTTGCGGAAAATCCGCGTAAAGATTTAATGATTGAAGGTAGATGACAGCAGAGCGAACGCATGCATTGTTAGTACATAAAACGATATATCTGCTGTAGAACCAGTATCCACACGATCTATGGTGCTTGATGCATGAAAGCTTTGACGTACGTTGAGCCTATTCAATATTCATCAGCACGAAACGAACAGTAGTGGGGAGACTCGCTGCTGCCATGCTGGATACAAAATGGATCAAGCGTGCCCTGCGAACAATTAATAAAATTATTAACCCACGTCAAGCTTACTCATTGTCGTTTAGCATCGTGCGTCGTGTTAGACCTTAGCGGAATTTACAGCAAGATGAACCGTGAATAAGGCGCTTAACGCTAATTTTTATTACTCTTTACGTTTTGGTAATTCTACCTAATTTTGTGACTCCATGCTTTATGCTATATTAAAAATGTTCAAAAACAAAAGCTTACTACTAAACATCGGCGTTTTCAGTTTTTTCCTGCAATGTATACATAACCGATATTGACTTTTCATATCGTTTTTTTTTAAAAACCGTTTTCAAATATCGATATACGTGATAATGATTTGCTACTGTATGCGCAAACGACAACCGAAACATAATCACCAACTGTAAAACCAGCGCAAAACATTTATTTTACGAATTACTTAGACAATTAAATAATATTGACAAGTGAAGACAAGTAAAGTGTTAATTCAGAGTAGCCAAATCTATTCTGTCATTGTGGCGTGAAGCAGTAACAAACATCTTGAATCTGTATGAATGAAATTAGGCATAGGAAAAACTTTTACTTACATAGCGATAAGGTTTTGTTGAGTATTAATTAAGTATTAGGGCGAAACATCTCAACTTTGGGGAATATTATTTAGAGTATTATTTTCATTTATATAGACAGGATTAAGCAAGTACAAAAGCGTTTTCTACGTTTTCTGCAATTTAAGACGCAATTTTGCACTGATAATTACATTTCGCAGTGTAAAAGGTTTCATATCTTGCCTCTGTATGAACGTAGGCGTATTGCAGGTACGATTGATATTTTAAAATTTGGCAAGTGGTCATATTGACTATTCGGAGCTCCTAAGTAAGTTGGGATTACAAGAGTTCCCCAATTAAGAAAGCCTCGCTTACTTCATGTGCCGTGTACACGGACTAAATACAGTCAAAATTCTTTTATGATTCGTTTATGTAGAACTTTTAAAGACATTTCCAATTTCGTTGATTTGGATTTGTTTTACACCAATTTTTGTTATGTAATTTATTCCTATCTTTTCTAGGATCTGTTTGTTTTATTTATTTACTAAAGATTTTTTATCAAAGATATCTCTGTCAGCGAATCTAGTACTTCTTGCAAACTTGTAACTTTTTCTTTGAATACCGTTTTTAAATAGACGATGTTGTCACTAAGATCAGCCCCTAATAAATATTTTTTTTATAATTTTACTCCTTTTATATTTATTGTACTAATTAATAAATTGCGACACTTTATTTTTGTTTCACAAAAGCATTTTATTATAATAATATAAATGTCGATTTAAATAAAAATTTGTGATGAGAGCTTGTTATTTAAGGCATAAGTTCCTCCACTTTTAGTTTTTGATACTTAGAGCCTATTTATTTCTGGTATTAATTTTTAACCATGCCTCTTTACAAATCTCTGAATCAAGCTGCGGACTACCTGACAGACTGTTGAATTAACGAAACTATAAGCGTTCCTTGTTATGGTACTATGGAACATACTACCCTAAAAAACTTACTACGCTGACTAATTAAAAAGGTGATTTAAATTGTTCGAGTGCATTTTGCTAATGCTTTTGAGTTTTCTCTTTTTCATAGGGAAACTATCGATATAAAATAACGATATGGTAGCATCGCAATTAATTTGTCCTTCTTACACTCATAACATTTACTATATTGATGTACTTAACTTACATGTGTGCATAAAATGTAATGGTATTGGAGATTTAGATTAGTGTGTCATAATGGCAAAAAAATTTTATTGAGTGGGTGCGCAGTACTGTCTATGTAATGTTTCTTCCCCCGTACCAAAAGTGACAGAATTTTTTGTTCGTAGCATTAGGCGCATTACTCATTCATTGAGTTGAATGGTCTAAGGTCTCATGTATACTTACTCCATATCGAGAGTTTTGGCGGGAACATGACCGTAGACAGATTGTCGCTCCTGTTTTGTCATTTGAATAATGGTTTGAATTTGAAGTGGATTTTGAGTCGTAAAAGTGAAGCGACTTTGTGAATTAAGGGTCCGTGCGTGTGAAATATTAAAGAAAATGACGAAACAAGTGCTTTGATGTCGATATAAATTCAAGTTATTTTGATCACTTGGGTGCCTCATGAACTTGAGTGGCTGACGTTATCAACTGTCCGCCGGGTTGAGCTGTCGTCTTAATCTCCCAAGGGCTTCGCAATGTGACACATCAGCATATTGTGAAAAAAAATTATATAAAAATGAAGATTCCGAATGAAGTGGTAGGCTCAGAAGGGCTGGAACCCAGAGCGTAAAGCCAGTTAATAAAACTATTACTACATATCATAGATATAGTATAAACTCCACAATATCTATCATGAAAGTTAGAGAACAGGAAAACAATCGCCGTAGAAAATAGTGTCCCAGAAATATGGACACCATAAGTGAGGCGCTGCGATCGCTAACTTCGGTCAATAAAAGTCATCTTCAGTCTATTTTTCCGATCATATGCTAAACCACTTACACATCCACGCACAATAAAATATTTCTCCATTTTTTAATGTTTCTTTATGTCAAAAATTAAAAAAATACGGAGCATGAAAATTTTCTCACCAATGCCGCGGAGAAAATTTCTACATTATTCAACTAACCAGTTGAACGTCCAAGCGATACGGCAACAATACCCTTGAACGTCCCGGCCCCGGTCGTTGATGTTTTTATACGGTCGGATCGCGACCAGTTCGACTAAAACGGTTACCTAGTAGAGAAAGTTCTTAACCTATGTCATAATAAAAATCACCCACAAAAAGCTAATGAAATGCAAAGTTTAAATATGATAATAATAATTTACTCACTTGACGTACAACAGGTAAAAAAAATTATTAATTTTAGAAATTTAGATGAAAAACCCTAACATTTTTTATTTTCTTATTATATTTGTTAATATCGCAGTAAATTAAAAACGTTTTCCAAAACCGTTAAATGTAATGAGTAATATCATAAATTGAAACCCATAATAATATGTTATAATGGTGCAGTGCCAAAACATCTAAAAAATACCTAAACGCAACAACCACCACACCAATTAAAACCCATTATTTTCTTAATGTTTTACCATAACCGCAGAATGAAAAGAGAAATATCACAAATTTATACCTATAAAACAGCAACCACAATTATATTTTATAAACAACGCTGTTTCAAATTAATTAGCGTAATTTTTCCAAAAATTAAATAAGATGTCGGATCCCAAAAAGAATTGTTTCGGAATATATCCCCGATACTGATCCTATCGCCGGAGTTTCTGTAATGTTGTATAATAGTGCAGTGCCAAATTAAATAAAAAAGCAGCCATATATTGTTTATAACTATACCTATAAACCTATAAAACAACAACCATTTATATGTTAAAAAGGTGCAGTGCCAAATAAAATAAAAAAGCAGTCACGAAAAATCATGTTAAATACACTCGTAATTTCTCGTTTTGTACGAACCCTTAAGATGACACATATCATAAACGTTACGGGCGGCTGTAGTCACCCGTACATTAAACCTGGGGAACAAAGTACAAAAAAGTAAAATCCTTAATACTTTCACTATTTTCCTTTTACTTAAGTGTATTTAAATATAGTTAATAACCTGTTTTACTAATTATAAGAAATATTTTACTAAAATAAATAATATACAATACAAGAACTTAACGAAAGACCGACACACAAAAGCGAAGTTATCGCATGTCGACTTCATCACATATAAAATACATCATAACAGACTTTGGATTTATAAAACTTGAAGATATACGAAAAGAAAACATCCTGAGGATTATTTTGATATATAACACTGGTACAAAAGTATAATAAATATATTATTACTTACATTTTAAATGAAGAACTCACAGTACCACCGGCCACTACACAAAACTTGACACAACGCTTATTTCTTTTTTTTTTATGCCGTCTGTTACCTGGCATGGACCTTTTACTAACCCATAGACACGTATTTTAATATAGAGCTATCTAGTATAACATTCATAAAGCTTTTTGTAACATTCTATAGATCAAAATTTGTTTAAAGTTTAGAAGTCAGATAGGCCGCTCTAGTCGCCCTAACGTTCAACCGGAAAAAGTTTTAGGCGACTATGGTCACCCGGAAGTTTAAGTGGCTAACTTCATCTACTTGTACTCATAAACAGCTAACCTCGGAGTCACTACTCACCGACGTCAGCGCCGCTATAAATTCTACAATTTTCAAGGACAGGCGGGCTTGCTTTAGTACGTGGTGATCGTTCTCCTGTTCTCTAATCTTCATGATATCTATGCTACATATTTATTTATCTATGGTCAAAAATGTCGGAGCTGTCACGAGGTTAGTGTCTTTAGCACTCGTAGATTTTTGGAATTTTATCAAATCAACAGTATGTAAGTTAATATGCCTTACTCCATTAAATCTTTTCTTCCATGTTCGCTCTTTTCAGCAATCTGGATAGAAAATTTGGCTCTTATATTTTCTCATGCTAAGTCAGTATTTTTTTTATTAATTAACAATTATATTAAATCAATGTTGTGCTTTATATTAACTTCATTTTAATTCACTTAGCATATTAGTGTCGGTATTGTATCGGCAAATAGGCGTATTGATGCATCCTTACTCAAAAACCATGAGTTTTTGTAATATTATATGTAAGAATTAGACCAACAATAATTATAGGTTTTGTACAGATGAGTCCAAGTACTTTCAAAAATAAATATTATCACACACGAGTAACTTGCATAGAAAATTAATCCTTGCTCTTATAAATAAGGAGCAAAAACGAATTTGAAAAAAAAAATCAACCTAATATAAAAACCTAGTTGCGTAAATATGAACTTTCAGTAATTCAGTGATTTGAATGCTTTTAAGCATAATTTTAAACACATCATATTTATGTTAAATACATGACTTTGCCAAACAGAGATCGGTGAAATTTGGACTCGTTTATTTGACCATCGTCCATTCTTAAACGGAGAAATAAAGTTTATGTTGAAGGAGTTTGAGGTAATATAATCTTTTGATATTATTACACTTTGAAATAATATTAAGTGTATTATTACTATAAGTAGATGTAAGTTATAGCATGGATGTTCATAAGTTAAGTAATAAGCAATATGTTATATTGGTCTGTGAATATTTACGTTGATTATTTTATTCTTCTTGATTGCATGCCTCACTGGTCTAGTGGTCATAAATGTGGTTGCTGATCATGAGATCTTGAGTTTTTTGAGTTGAGTCAAATTCGGTTATTGGGTTTTTGCTCTTAATTCTTGTCTTCAAGTCTCTCAAGTCAAGTAAGTTGGGAGTTTTTCACCCCCGTGCCTTAAACCGCCGTGACCTAAATTCGGTCTGGAGGACATTATGTATCATTTACTGTGCATACTCTATATACCTACTATAAATATAAATTCTGGGAAAAGTTTTTGTTTGCATATATTGAAGTTGAAGACATTTCTATTAAATTAATTACTTATAATTTTAAAATACTCGCCTTTTACCTATCTTTTTAATAGTGTTATCTGTTGTACCTAATTTTATGATGTTGGGCCGAAATTGTCGTAAAGAGTCATAGTCCTAGATGTTTAAATAGATTATTTTTATAGGGTGCGTTTGGCAGAAAAAAAAGCGCTAGCAAACGCTTGTAAGCAAAATGGCGATCGTAAGCAGTAAGCGCTGTCAAATCGTAAGTAGCTATTTTCCTCCAGGACACTATGTTAGTTTTAACCGGGAAACCTAATCTAATTTAAATATATGTTTGTAAAGTATTCATATTAAAAACTTACCAATCATGAATTTTTAATAACATGTATATGTTTATTCATGTCATTATATTACTTAAAACTAATATTGCATAAAACAACTTATAAACTCTACTTCAAAACAAACAAATTAAATAAGCAAAATGGCGGATTGTGCGGCGCTACTGAAGTAGCAATCGTGTCCTGGTCGAAAACTATTTCAGAGCTTATAAGCGCTTAGCGCTTTTTTCTGCCAAACACACCCATTGTAAATCATTAATGGCGCTCAATGTTTTTCTCGCACAGTTGAATAAGCAACATCATGAAGTTTTCTTTATTTTAAATTGATTGCAAGCGTCCATGGGCTATAGTAAAATTCTTCCAATAATTTAAACATCTCGGACTTGTTTATCACCACCTTAAAATGGACACCAACCAATTTAATATTGAGATAATTGTTAACATATTTGCTAATTTTAATTTTTTTTTGTAATTATTATTTTTCTTTAATAAGGAAAAACGAGGAGACCGTGAAGTAGAGAACTTGTTTTCTATATTAGAAAACTTAACTGATATCAAAGATACACAAATTGAAAGAATAAACAAAAGTGGTAAAACTGGTCTACCCATTTTAAGTGAAAAGTTAATGCAGGGCCTACAATTGTGTGAAGAAATAGAAAAGGATTATTCTCAAATCCAACAGGTAATAAATATTTTGTAAGTTAATGTATTTAATTAACTAAATTTTATATTGTAAAAATATTTACACAGTTTAGATTTTTTTATTATTATACATATAGAAACTTTTCATTGCATAGTTTTATGAATTTATAATGTTACATACTATAAGTCACTGAAGGCAATAACTCAGATTTCACAATCTATCAAAATGTGATATCCCTCTACAAGGTGCTGACGTAAAAACTTTTTTGTGAATTCTTCTCCTAAGGTTGATGCGAAATGCACTGCAAAGTTTTATGAAGCTCATTACATCACATTTAATAGACTGCAAAAGATCAGCTCACAAAGATGAAGTCCGCCTGGGTAGGTCCTACCACTACCCTCTTACTTTTTCTGTGTCCAAATAACAGTGCTTGCACTGCTGTGTTCCAGTCTGTAGGTATAGAGTATGGGTAGTGCACTATTAAATACGCTATGTTATAGCGCGCTATTTATAAGAAAGCATGTAGGAGGCCGGCAAGCGTATTAAGTTTAGCAGCACACTATATCTCAGAGCACGCTACATTACGTGTCGTTCATTGGATTGGCCGCGTGCTATATAAGGACATTATTTCGTAAAGTCGCATTTTAGATTAAAATAAAATAAAGTGGTAAAGAGAAATCATTGAACGCTCTTTCATACTTTTCAGGCTTACGACTTTCTATAATCCTAAAAATATTATTAAATATAAAAAGTACATGCTGTACTTTTTAAAACAAAATAGAATTAATCATTTTTATTATAGTTTATGTAAACGTTATTTTAACCTTTATATAAATTATAAATCAATTAAAGGTATATTTAAAAGTTTATTGAGTGTGTCTGCAAAAATCAACTATTTACAAACACTATTATATACACTTTTGGATCTACATTTTATTTAAATTTAAAAACATTAGTTAGGCTTCTTTTGTAGCAGACAACTATGTCCTTTGATCACTTATAAATATACAGTATACACTACCTAAAACGCTAAATTAGTTCGAGCGCGATGAATAGCGTGCTGCTAGATTAAATTTGCGTCACACGTCTACTCCCAACAGCGCTGCTGCTAGAACTAATTGCCACTTGATATGAATAGCGTCATAGCGCCATGGCGACTATTTACATAGCACGCGCTATGTGTTATGGAGAGATAGTGTGCTATAATATGGCGCTGTGCGCTATATTAACCACCATTACATCTATATTTATCCTCGATTAAGAATCAAAATGCAGATGCATTTTCACCCCTTTTTTGTCGCACTAAGATGGAATGCCTCGTTTCTAGTAAAAAGGGTCTCCAGGATCTCTACACTTACCATACGAAACACGGTAGTGTTGAGCTTCTATTTTACGCTGGTATTTTGTGCAAGCATGCTCCTTCCCCGGTCGAGTCGACCCATTCATGCTACAACCATAATAAAGTTAGCTGCAGCGTGGCTCTATCACATACAATGACTCTACCATATACAAAACATGCTGTGAGGTATTTCATCTTAGCCCTCCAAGGTGACTGTAGGCTTCTTTGTATTGAACTTGGCTGCTGGTGTCCATGGACAGTAACCACTTACCATCAGATGGTCTGTTAGTTTTTTCTCACTTCAGTTTTATGAAAGAAAATGCTTGGGATCCTATAATTAATAAAAATAAATTCGAATCCAAGCATACTACTTACTGCTACATCTTGTTACATGATCTAAGTGCTACACTTTTAAATACTAAAACCTCATTTTGCTTAGATCGTTCCATAAATTAATATGTATTTAAAAGTTGCCTTCAGCTTTAGTCTGGATTAACTATAACACCAAGATATTTAACACCTAAGTCTCCCATTAAACATCAGGACTTTAAAGCAATCTGAACAATAGCCTGTAAACCTAGTTTTATTTAAAACTAGCTGGTACCCGGTGCATTGCTGCCGCAAAAGAATTAATTGTGGAAATATTGTTTTTAATTTGGTAGAGTTACATTGCTTAATTAGGAATAGTAATATATTCATTGGAATTGTACGATATATCTTTCAAATAAATTTGTTGGTTCAATACACGTGCCACATACAGTAATCAGTAAGTTAATCGTACTAAGCCTTCCAGCAAGCACAAGAATAAAATACGAAAAAACAAACAATAATTTTTATATATTAGAAGATATACAAAATACTCTAAGCTGCGTGGTTCTACCCTTTTTAACAGTGGACAACTTTGTTCAAAATGAGAAATAAGGCAGCGAAAGCAGAAGTTTAACAGTGGTAGAGCCACGCGGCAACTTTTGTTGTCGCCCGGGTGGGCCGCCGCGCCGGCTCAAACCAGGGTAAGGCGTAAAGTAGAGAGTTACCTCTGCGTTTCGCTTGGTAGGTGGCCAGAGGCCCCATCCCCCCTCCCAACCCTTAACATGGTAGCAGAATAAAGAAAAGATCTACCACAGGAGGGTACCAGAACCCCTGGTGACGGTGAATCCCTCGCTGAGCATCCACGACTAAGTTATTCTACTCTTCCTGACCGTGGGTGCTCAGGCTGCCCCGCGTATTCGGAGGAGGGGGGGACGCAATTCCGCTAGTGACAAAAATTGCTCGGGGCAAGCAGAGCAACAACACCAAGGCGACCCCTGCCACGCTATCCGTGAGTTTTTGCAACATTTCCAATCTTAACGCTGTCCACTACCATCAGGAGACGGCGAAGCCGGCCTTGCTCTTTTTAACTGAGACTCAGATTTCCTTTCCGGCCGATACTTCATATCTCTCCTACCTGGGGTACAAATTAGAACATTTCTTTGTGCCACGGGCTGGAGTTTGCTTATACGTCAGAGAGGACGTCTGTTTTCGACGGAGGCAGATCCCAGCCATGGTTTGGTCGCTCCTGTAAAATAGCATCACGCTATAAGCAGGAGTGCTACCGGGCCTGGGCTGACGCATCAACGTCTCGAGATGTAAACACCAGCGCTCTTAAAAAGAAGTATAATTCTGCCTCCAGGTCCTTCAAAAGAGTCATTGCCAAGGCAAGGTCTGAGCACATCGGCAGAATTGGCGTGAAGCTAGTTCGCCTTCCTTCGGGAACCCGTGCATTCTGTTGTCTTGTCAAGGCTGTCAAAGGGAACTTCCGTCAGTCATCTCTGCCATATCTGCACAGAGAGGACGACTCACTGGCCCATGCCGCAAAAGAGAAAGCCGATCTGTTAGGTTCTCTCTTTGCGTCCAACTCGACCCTCGATGACGGGGGAAACACACCGCTGATCATCCCGCGATGTGAGTGCTCCATGCCGGAGGTGCGGTTTATAGAGCGCTCTTCTTCCTGGACGTCAGTAAGTCGAGTGGGCCTGATAGAGTCCCTCCCATTGTGCTGAAGACGTGTGCTCCGGAGTTGGCACCGGTTTTAACGCGTCTTCCGGTACTCCTACTTCCAAGGTGTAGTCCCGAATTCTTGGAAGGCAGCTTTGGTCCACCCGATTCCTGAAAAAGGCGACCGCTCAGACCCGTCTAACTACAGGCCTATCGCCATCGCCTTCTTGTTCTCGAAAATAATTGAGTCTATTGTAAACTGACAACTCAGAGGTACCTTGAGGATCACCAGCTGATCAGTGACCGCCAATACGGTTTCCGTCGTTGTCGATCAGCTGGTGATCTTCTGGTCTACCTTACTCATAAATGGGCGGAGACAGTAGAGTTCAAAGGGGAGGCATTGGCCGTTAGTTTGGACATAGCTAAGGCCTTTGATCGGGTCTGGCACAAAGCGCTTCTTTCGAAGCTGCCTTTCTATGGGCTTCCCGAGAAATTGTGCGATTGGATTGTAGACGGTGCATGCTCTGATTACTAGCCTTTTAACGCTGGTGTTCTACAAGACTGCGTGCTATCACCAACGCTGTTTTTTCTGCATATCAATTATATGTTGCAAACTGATAACAATCATTGCTGTGTGTGCGACAGACTGGTGTCCTTATACACCGGCCGTGCCAATATTTCTCGGGAACTCCTTTGTCGTGTCTCCTCAGTTTGAAGGCACTCCCGTTGCTGCCTCAGCTAGCGTCAGAATCCTCATCATCATCATCATCATCATTACAGCCCTTCACAAGTCCACTGCTGAACATAGGCCTCCCCCAAGTAATGCCACAAAGCACGGTCCTGAGCCACCTGCATCCATCGACTTCCTGCATGTCTTACCAGGTCGTCACTCCATCTAGTGGGGGGTCGCCCTACACTACGCCTACCGGTACGAGGCTGCCACTCGAGAACCTTTCTTCCCCATCGGTTATCGGTTCTTCGAGCTATATGGCCTGCCCATTGCCACTTCAGCTTACTAATCTGTTGGGCTATGTCGGTCACTCTGGTTTTACTGCGGATATCCTCATTTCTGAGTCTATCACGCAGAGAAACTCCGAGCATAGACCTCTCCATAGCTCGCTGAGCGACCTTGAGCGTCCTCATACGGCCAGCAGTGAAGGACCACGTCTCTGATCCGTAAGTCATCACTGGCAACACGCACTGGTTGTACACTTTAGTTTTCAGAGACTGAGGTATACCTGACGAGAAGATGTGTCGTAATTTCCCGAACGCTGCCCAGCCTAGTTTAATCCGTCGATTGACCTCTCGGTCGAAGGTGGACTTACCTAGTCGGACTATTTGTCCCAGGTAAACGTACTCGTCAACAACTTCGAGCATAGTGCTCCCCACAACTACCGGGATAGGTGTGACATGGACATTGAACATAATCTTTGTTTTGTCCATGTTCATCTTAAGACCTATCCGTTGGGAGACACCATTGAGGTCATTGAGCATAGTGCTAAGGTCCTCCAGCGATTCTGCCATAAGGACTATATCGTCGGCAAATCGAGGGTGAGTGATGTACTCACCATTGATGTATAATACCGTATCCTTTCCAGTCCAGTAGCTTGAAAACGTCTTCCAACGCAGCGGTGAAGAGTTTCGGGGATATAACGTCACCCTGTCTTACACCTCTCTGCAGTTGGATAGGTTTAGAACTCTGGTTCTGTACTCGGATAGCCTTCGTAGCCCTACTGTACAAACACTTCAGCACCTCGATATACCGACAGTCAATTTGGCACCGCTGAAGGGACTGTAGCACCGCCCAAATTTCGACAGAATCAAAGGCTTTCTCATAGTCCACATACGCCAGGCAAAGTGGCAGATTGTACTCTTCGGTCTTCTGTACAATCTGCCGCAGGGTATGTATGTGGTCCATAGACCACCATAGACAGATAGTACAGTACTGAAGCCTTTTCGGAAACCGGCTTGTTCAGGAGGCTGGAAGTCGTCGAATCTGCGTGCGAGACGATTCGTAATGACTCTCGAAAACAGCACGTAGAATCCTCGACGTCGACATATCGAGTGACGTGCAGTTTCGTAGTCATTTGGAAGAGAAGGCCAAATTGGCCTCTAAAAAGCTTGGCGTGCTCAGCAGAGTGAGACAGTATTTCATGCCGGCACATCGCTTGCAACTTTACAAAACGTAAGTTCGGCCTCACATGGAATACTGTTCTCATCTCTGGGCCGGGGCACCCCAGTGCTAGCTCCTTCCACTTGACCGCATCCAGCGCAGAGCGATTCGAATTGTCGACGACCGAGTGCTTTCTGATCGGCTCGATTCACTGGCGCTGCGTAGGGATGTTGCATCCCTTTGCGTTTTCTATCGTATCTACGATGGGGGTGTTCTGAAAAATTGTTCGGATTAGTTCCAGCCGCCAAATTTCAAGAGCGCACATCGGGTCAAAATTCCCGATAACATCCTCACCATCTGGATGCTTGGCGATCCACTACTGTACATTTTACTAGGAGTTTTCTTTCTCGTACAACTTCTCTGTAGAATTGTTTACCACCGGCGACTTTTCCAGACCGATACGACTTAGGGACCTTCAGGAAAAGAGCTTACTCTTTTTTAAAAAGCCGGAAACGCATCTGCAATGCACCTGGTGTTGCGATTGTTCATGGGCGGCGGTAGTCACTTACCGTCCGTTGAGCCGCATGCTCGTTTGCCCCCCCCCCCCTTCTATAAAAAACAACCCTAGCGGATTAGTATGCTGAAACGCATGTAGCTCTCAGTACCAACAACTGTTGGGATGGATGTATATGTCTATGAGCCACAGCATCTAGTTACCATCAGGTCAAACTGTGTACTTGTTTGTCATCTTTATTCAATATAAGAAAAGGTCACCGTATAATCGTAAGCAATTTTTTTATTCCATTTTACGTACTTGGAAAGCTTAGAGCGAGCTTGCTATTGTCCTTCAATAAGGTTCATAAGGTATCCAATTTTATGAATAATCACAAATATGGTTTTGGGCCTTATGGAGAAACTTGCTCCTGATGTGGTTCGATTTTTTGTTTAATGTTAATTTGCTCCATTGATTTATATATTACACTAGATCAGTAATAACCGCGCCAAAGCGTTACCACTGCACATATGGCCACAGCCATATACATAGCTAACGTCAGTTCAGTGTTCAATGTGACGCCGACAGAGTTGAGCCGCGACAAAAAATTGGTAAATGCATAGTGAAAGAATGCTATTCAAGGTCACAAAAACGTAATAAATCGAGCAGAATCACTTTCAACACATAATTTTTAGTTCTTGTTTTCATATAAACGTAAAAAACCTCAAATAATTAAATAAAATTATCGAATATTGCCATTTAGGTTCAATGTTGCCACTTTTCCGCATTTGTGATTATTCTACATTAATGGGAGACTATATAATTAATGAAGTAAGTTAATTTATTACCTCTGATTTTAAATATTTTGGAAATTATAATAAAAACTACGTTTTAACTTTCATACAAAATAATTAATTATTCTTATTTTAGTTTATTCATGAATTAACCTATTGAATATATTTTATTACCTACTCGTTTTATATTAATAATTTTATATTAATTATAATTTCGTATAAATTTTATATTAATTAAATTTTATTAGCTATTTTATATTGTTTGATTTATTAGTACAATAAAAATACATTTTATTTCATCACTTTTATTCATCTAGTAAGCTTTTTATCCTTTTTTCTAAGGGGACGCAATAAAGATTTTAAAATAAAATATACTTTTTCAATATAAAAACAATTAACTGCAGCTTAAAAAAAACTCATTTTTATTGCGTATTTTAGGTAAAATTTCATATAGTAAGCCACACCAACCCGCTATTGCATGTTTGTGTGTCTATCTTTATCTAATCTAGCGAACGAAAATAGTGACGATATTGTTTTCGCAACTTGTGTAAGTGAGATAGATATATGTTTATTTAAAGTTGTTATTAGTTTCGAAGCTACGTCGTCGCGTTTGGATAGTGGTTACACTTTTTTCGACGCGCGGTAATGTGGTTTGCTCCTCTAGTGTTGTATAACTCAATGATTTGCTCCCACTAAGGTTTTCAAGTTGTAATCTATCTCAATTTTATTGGTGACATCTTTGTTACAGATAGCTTAGTTGCAATGTTACTCTTTCACAAAGTTTAGTATATGTTTATGGTATAATTAACATTTGAGTGTATTTTTCGACATGATACTCTGAAAAAAAAAAGATCACATGGATTTTAAGGTTATTTGTTAAAAAAAAGCACGTGATCCTATCATTGATATATTAAAAGGGGAAGATATGTTACACGCTAATATCGCAATCACTAAACCTGGGCTCGGCGCACGACTACAAGCACCAAAACTTACACATCATTATCGTAACCGCAAAATTACATTTAACGATAGACAAGGATAGAAATAGGAAACGTCGTAGTTGTGCGAGCGAAATCGCATTAGCCAGTTAGGCATCGCGTGCGTTTCGTGTCTCTCACGCATGTTTTTATTATCTATCTCGCTCTTACAAACATGGCGAAGTTGACAATAAATATTACCATAATTTTCAACAAAATAGAATTTTTAGCTATACTTACGAGTGGTAAGTAAACCCGAGTATCTTATTTTTCTTTCTTGAATTATTAGCATACTGTTTAGCTGCACAAGAAGTCATTTTAATGCGTATTTAATACCAAAAGAACTGAAATTAAAGAGCTGTATGATCAACGACGTTTCGCGCGCGACTGAATGTCACTACGAGCCAAGTACGGGCAATCCCGTAGTTTTGTAGGACCGGGCGCTTTGATTTAGTGACCTATCTTCCCCTTTTAATATATCAATGGATCCTATAGTCATAGTTAAATTGCAGTTGAAAAAAAAACACTTGAAAGTTCGTTTTTTTATGAGGTCTCAAATCAAAATAATAATATTGCATGTAAGGTCTGTTAATTGAATAAAATTAAATTTCTACTTAAATTTTAATATAAAAGTACTTTTTTTTGAACAGATAGAGGTCTTAGACAAAGCTACACCCATTTTTTTTTTAAATAGATTGAATTATTTTCAGGTGTGTAAACAAAAACGGTGTGAAAATCAAGAGAAAAGACAAAAGGAATGGGATCAGTTTATTGATGATATGAATTTTAAATGTCAAAGAATTGATAATACATTTGAAGAAAAAGAGGAAGAACTTAGAGATTTATATGCAGACTTAAACCATAAATTAAACATAACAAATAAGTGAGTGAGTCATGGACCTTAAAGGCACACTTGTTGATACAGATTTAAGGATCTATCCTTCAAAACAGTTACAGAATTTTATGAATGCTATACCAATCACTGATGAGACACCCATTAATATAATAAAATTTATAAAAAGTGAAAATGAAACCCCTAATAGTCAATTTAAACATTCAAAAATAAATGAAATACATTTAAACAACGATGATATTAATAATATAAATAAAATCAAAGATATTATAAAAAATCTTGATTCTGATTCTAGTAATATTAAAGACTTAAATCAAAAAAATCAAGAATCTTCTAAAACTTGTGATAACATCGATAATTCGGTCATTAAAGAAAACAAGATGGGAGAAGAGGAGCTCAAAACAGAAAGTGATAAAAAAGGTAGTCCTTTCCTGAACACTTGTGATATAGACTGGCTGTATGCTCATATTAATAAAAGAAGGAAGGATGGTGAAAAAGATGTCCCTTTTTTGCATGTTCTATTTGAAGGGTCACATATTGAGTTACCTCAGAATGAAATAATCATAAGGAATCCAGTCTTAGAAGCTAGATGCGTAAAACTAAGGGCTCAACAGGAAGCAAGGGAGTATCGAAAAATGACTAAAAGTGTTGACAATGTTAGAATGAGGTTCCCAGAGGATAGTATTAGCTATCAGAGTAAGTAATATTTTTTATATAATTTATACTTGCGCTTGTTGTCACATGGTGATACTCCAGCTTTATTTTAGTGATTTGGATAAACACTTGTATTTGTTTTACAATATTGATTTTAAATTATTAATATACTAACTATAAAAACCGACCAGCTCAGCTTCACCCTATAAACTCTAATAATTTAAAATTTATATTGTAAAACAAGTGTTAATCCAAATCATAAAAACAGTCATACATTTCATTATTAATTGACAATTCAGTGAATAAGGTTGGAATTACAGTACTTTAGAAACAATTTTTGCAGTTCAATAGTGGAAGAGCTATTTTAATTGACAGTTTTGGTATTATTATATTTATATTTAAGTGAAGAATTAATTTTATTATTACAATTAGGTATTATTACAATTGTTTGATAATTTTAGGTAGTCTTATACTCGGGATTTTTTGTGGTGACAGTGACAGTGACAAACGAGCACACATTCCAACTGATGGTTTGTTGATACTGTGGCAGATGTCTAACATTACGTCCATCCTTGATTAACAATCAAAATGCAGATGCACCCCTGAGAAAAGAAACATAACCCAAGATGGAATGCCTCGTTTCCAATAAAAAGGGTCACCTGTTCTCTACACTTGCCATATGAAACACAGTAGCGTGAAGGTGGTATTCTGTGAGAGTATGGTCCCACCCCGGTCGAGCCAACACATCCATGCTGTTCGGCTTGGCTCCGCCACATATAATAAATTAATTAACACGGAATAGTTTTCGTCTGACATAACATTTTAATTACATCAAAGATAAATAATGTTAAAGTTCAAAGTGTTTTTTTCTTTAAAGTAAAAAAGCAGAAGCTAAAAAAATCTTGCTGAAATCGCAACTTGCATTCGTCAGGGCATGCTAGCGACTATATCTCTTATGGTTTCTTCCGAAATACGTTCCCACTACGCGGCAATCATATTCTTTAGATCTCTGATGTGGAGGCTGCTCTGATCATAATCGTTGCTTCAGAATGCCCCAGACATGCTTCATAGGATTTCGGTCAGGACTTAACTGCACAATCCAACAGACTAATTCCGGCTTCTAGCAAATACACTTCTTCATCGACAGAATGACGACAGAGCGTCATTGTCATCTATAAAAGTTGAGATTTTGCCAAGAGTGGCCATTGCGGCTTGTCCATGAAGAATTACAACTTCCATTAGTAGTGGTGTCCAATCATTGTGTGTATTCGATGAAGACTAACTCCGTATGATCCCCAAATTTACTTCTGCCTAAACATAACAGAGCCGCCACCATAAGGTTTGATTTCCTTAAAACATGCAAATGCAAAGCATTGTCCTCGTCTTCGTAGCATTCGCCATATTGATATTATCCTTGCTTCATTGGAGAACCATAACTTAACCTAGTCTTCTTGAATCCATGACTCAATTTTGAGCGAAGCTAAGCCTGGCGTTTTGGTGCTCACAGAATAATTTAGTGCCGCTGGCAGTGACTGTGTATATTGACTGAGATGCCCCCTGACCGTTCATAGATTAATTTGCACATATATAAATTCGAGATTATTCTTGAGGACCACATACAAAGATTTTCTATTTTCTGTAGGTATGGTACAAGGCTTTCTTTCTGAAAAAAGCCTTCCCTTGACGGAACCGGACCCTTGATAGCGCTGCCAGGTTCTTTGGACTGTAGAACGACTTACATTTAGCCTCTTAGCCACAAAGCATGACTGAAACCCACAAGCTTCGCAATATTTTTACTGACTTTTATCACTTTTTCTCCTATTTATGAGACTGCTAAACAACAATAACAATACTTTAAAATTTCAGGGAAATGAGATAATTCAATAAAAATGGGCTAAAAGTTATTTAGAGTCTATATATTAATTTTCGAGAGTTCGCGCCGCAAAATGTAGTAGTTGTTTTCATTAGAAATCGGCCTCAGACAAAAACTAAGTTTGGGACTTACTTATTTAAACACCACGGCACTTTTATGACCGGCCAATAATATGTTCAAATGATTGAAACATTTTTCGTATTGTTTTTTAAGGGAGGAAAAATCAAAACCGACCGTTTTTTTTGCAAATGAGTGTATAATTAAGTAGCCATAATTATCATAGGTACTAAGCATGTGAATGGTGATCACATTTTAAGAAATCTCACCTTTAACGCTGCCCTCTATCACCGCTGTTGAGGATTTGGTAAAACTCTTATGGTAGTTTAGTTTAGTTTAGTTTGCGATGGGCTGTTTTCCGCAACTCCACGTCTATGCGCGTATTTTGCGTGTGGGCAGGAATAATGTGATTATTCGAGCCATGAGATCTCCCCGAAGAAGCTCAACAGTCCCTTGATGTTGCATGCAACTTCGGGGAGTGATCCCGGCGTGCCGAGATGTTTAGCCCTGTACGTAACGACCTCCGGACATTTCAGTAGCACGTGGGCCGCCGTTTCTTCCTCCCCCATACATGCCCTGCACAGGGGACTATCTGTAACACCTATAGTAAATAAATGTTTGTTAAAGGTGCCGTGTCCTGTGATAGCACTTGTTGCTATCCTGATCTGCGGCTTGTTCAGTCTCATTAAAACTTTGGTTAAGCGACTGTTTATTACAGGTAGGGCCTCCCTAGCTTGTCTACAGTCTACTAGATTTTCCAAAGCTGAGCATGTTGATTAGTGAAGTGTCTACGTACCATTGAACGAACGTTACCAAAGGGGATTGGTATGATTGGTTCCGGCCCTATAGTGGCCAGAGCCGATCCTCTTCTGGCCAGTTCGTCCGCTGCATGGTGCCTCTGGATCCACTGTTTCCCTTTATCCATTGCAGAGTCACATTGTTGTTTTACATACCTCATTTAATCGTTGATGGCATTCATATATTAGTCCCGAGTTCACCCCATTGCAACTCAGAGCTTGTAGTACCGCCCTACTGTCGGTCAGTATTCTGATGGGGAAGTCGTTAACCTTCCTAGCATCTATTGCTATGGCCGCTTGAATGATACCCATACATTCCGCCTGAAAGACCGTGTTATAGGTACCCAGCGGTGTGCATATGTGAATATTGAGGTCTTCAGAGAAAGCTCCAGAACCTACACCTTCATTTGTTTTAGAACCATCGGTGAAAACTCTAAGCTCTTTTGGGCTTAATCCTTCCGGCTGGCTGTTTTCATTTAATTGTATCTTGTATTTCTTATCGAAAACAAATTGTTTAGGAATCCTATCGTATTTGGCTTGTAGGATAGGAATTTCTGAGTGAATTCTATCAATTATGCCTGTATGAGGGACACTATTCTTACTCCAAAGATTTAGGGTCTTGAGTCTGATGGCAGCTAAAGTCGCTTCTTGTTGTATATGTAGATGAAGCGGAGTTAGCTCCAGCATCGCTTCCGAGGCTGCTGTTGGCGTAGTTCTTAAGCAGCCTGTGGCATAGTTATTCAGCATTCGTTTTTGTGTGAACATTACTAAAACCGTTTTATTTGGGTTGACGGTTAAGTCGTATTCCCTGCACCATCACTCCACTATACGGAGAGCCGCTTGGGTCAGGTCGCACACTATGCTTGCTGTCTTTCCCGAGACCAGTATTGTCAGGTCATCAAGCATAACCTACTGTATAGAAGTGATTAGTATTTAATTTTCTGATGAGTTCATTAATGACCATATTCCACAGGAGAGGTGAGAGAACTCCACCCTGCGGGCAGCCTTTCTTAATTAGGATTGGTTGAGATTCACCAGCAATCTTTATTATTCGTGTACTGAGCATGCAAACTATCCAGTCGATCAGTGCCGGTTCAACTTTATGTCTACTGAGTGCACCTTTTATGCTGGAGAAGTTCGTTCTGTCAAAAGCACCTTCTATATCTATGAAGGAACCTAGACATATTTCTTTGTTTTGGATGGCCTCTTCAATCTTTGTAATTACCTGATGAAGTGCCGATTCTGTTGATTTGCCTAGACTGTAGGCGTGTTGCTTGTCGTGTAGTGGTAAGTTCATTAGTGCCGACCCCCCTTAATTCCCTTTCACACATCCTCTCCATCGTCTTTAGGAGAAAGGATGTGAGGCTAATGGGCCTGTAGGATTTAGGGTCAGTGTAATCGCTCTTACCTGGTTTGGGTATAAATGTGACTTTCACTTCCCTCCATCCCCTAGGAACATATTTAAGAGCCAGACAGGCTCTCATTATGGCAACAAGTCTGACTATTAGGGCTTTACCCCCCCACTGTAGGAGTGCCGGGAATATGCCGTCAGGTCCTGCCGCCTTATAGGGGGAGGAAACTGAATGGCCCAATGGATTTTGTCCATCGTTACCACTCTCTGTGCTAAATTCCAGTCTTCTACTGTTGGTGTCGGTATGTCGTCATGCCGGCTTGCCTCCTGGGTTACGCAGCAACCTGGGAAGTGCGTTTCAATTAGGATGCGTTGGGCTTCATCCGGCGATGTTGAGTAGCTACCGTCGGGTTTCTTTAGAGACATGGATTCCGACGTGTTCTGTTTAGCTAGAATATTCCTTATCCTATTTGCTTGTTCGCAGGTTTCTATGTTGCCACAGAATTTACGCCACCCAGTCGAGCGTCGATACCTGATACATTTTTTGTATTCAGACTTAACTTTCTTATATAGTAGCCAGTCTTCATCCATTGCGGTATTCATGGCCCTATTTAGGGCTTTTCTTACCTTCTTACGTTTCCTATCGAGTTCTTCACCCCACCACTGTTGCTTCACCTCGGCATGCCTTGGTGGAGTGATTTCTGGACATGTTCATGGTAGCTATCTATCATGGCCTTAGTAACAGCTGCTACCTGTTCTTCTAGGAGCGACTGATCTGCTATAGTATTTATCCCCTCAAAACCCGCGAGCGAAGACGTCAGCCTATTTAAAGTATTTTGTTTTATCCGTCTTGCGGGGATTTCTCCATGGTGGTGTAGAGGGGATATCGACCTGTAGTGCGAAGCAGATCCATCTATGGTCTGAGCATGAGGCCTCTTTCGACACATGCCATCCCGTAATTAGTTTGGCTGCTCCTTCTGTTGCAAGTGTGAGGTCGATTATAGTGCGACAGCGTTTGTTTATGAAAGTAGGTTCAGAACCTATGTTAAAATGGTTAGGTTAGTACTAAATAAATATTCAACTAAAGCCTTACCTCGTTCATTTGGTTTTTCCATTCCCCAAAGGGGATGATGTGCGTTGGAGTCCGTCCCGATCACAACCTCTAGTCCGGTCCTCTCGCAGAAGTTCACCAGCCTGCCGAGGTCATGAGGGGGAGGAGTGTCTTCCTCCGCCATGTAGACCGAGGCGACGACTAATCTTCTCTCCTGTGTGTATTGTATTGCCACGGCATACATGTCTCTAGAACAGAAATCTGTTAATGGTTGTGCACAGATATCTTTAGTAGTGTAAATACACGCTCTAGGCTTGTCGTGTTCAGAGCTGTAGAATAGCTTACCTTTTAGGTTGTTTAGGCCTTTAATTTTACCAGCCCCAACCCACGGCTCCTGGATTAAGGCTATAGCAGTCCTTTGAACCTCCAACCACTTGCGTAATTGAGCCGACGTAGTTTCGCTGTGGTGGAGATTGGCCTGCACTAGGCTAGTTTTGGACGAAGGGCACGCCATCATTGATCGCGTCCTCCCCGTCCCCGCCCAAAAATAGGCCTGCCAGAAGATCTCGGGTCTCATCGTCAGCCACCGAGTCGGAAGTGGTCGGCAAAATGCAGTCCTCTTCGTCACTCAGTGAGCTGCCGCTGAGCCCGATCTCCACTGGGGGCTTCGGCTCAGTTGTGCAGGCCGTTTTTTCACTGGACTTGGCCTCCAGTGATTCCGCTGTACCGGTAACCGTGGCTCCGGTATCCATAACTTCCGGGTTGTTTTCTACCTCTTTGCTCGGTGGAGTGTCAAAGAATTTACCTCCACTACCCTGGAATTTTACGTATACCGCCCCGCATACACATGCGAGACGGCGTCCGGCCTTCATCAGGGTCGGGATATGATCCTCCGGCACCGAAACAACGAGGAACCACCCGTCCGTCTGCTTATCAGCCTTGTAACAGCCAGTCCCTGATGTTAACCCAGCGGTTCTGGTACGCCAGCACGCGACCAATGTCACGTGAGTCTTTCCAGGCTCCTTGGGCATCAGGGATAAGGATACCACATTTGACTCTTTGTGGTATCTCTGACTGTTTCTTTATTGTCAGCAAGGTGTTGGATTTAAGATCGAGGGTAGCAATATTCCCCTTCAACCAGTCCAGAGCCTTCTGATCGTCGCACCACAGTTTCAGGACACCCTCCGTATAAACGGGTTTGCCCCTAAAAACTGGGCCCGACGCATCAGGGTCCTGGCTACTCCACGCCTCGCTGATTATCTTCCTCTGTATTGCTACGAGGATGTCGTCTGCTACTTCCTTCGTAATGTGACCTGAACGCGCACACGTTAAGGCCACACCCAAATCTGCTCTAGCAGCGGAAGCGTAGCTCGTTCTTGCAGCCTTTGGATGCTGTTCGAGTCGCACTTTTTTGTGTTCCCCTCTAGGCGAGGTGGAACTCTTCCAGCATCCTTTTGGCTGCTCTTTCCTTCTTCCCAGGACGCTTGGCCGCTCGCTGCTTCCTGGCGGATATCCTAGATCTGGTTCCCGCGGCCGCGAATTCCACTTGGGCTGGATTTTTATTCCAAGGAAGATAAATCCCAGCTTCCAAGTGATCGGCTACTGGTTCCAGCTCCAAGCACCCCAGTCGCAGTAGCTTGCCCAGCCTCCTTGGTTTTAGTTTCGGAAGCAGCCAATGCGGCTCGTTCTCTTCGGCCTTTTTCCCGCTGCTTCTTGTTCTTCTTTTTGGCCTTTCCACTACTGCCTGCAGGGTAGACCCTCCTGATGGTCCGTCAGGTCGGCAAGTCACCTTTTTGGGTGCCTTGCCTTTCCCCTTACGGCTCACCACTTGCCAGGCAGCAGAGAAAAGGTCGTCAGTTCGTAGTGGCTCCGCAGTTTTGTTACTCGCGGGCTCTTGTTCTTTTTTCTCGTCCAGCTCCTTGGAACTGGTTTTGGAAACGTTCAGCGAGGTAGTTGTCCTTTTGGTGGAGGCACCTACGCTGGACGGTACTGTCCGTGGAACCGTCGGTTTAGTGACGGTTCCCCCTTGTTCTTTGGTGTTTCTGGTAAGCACCTCTGACACCTCTCCCTCTTTCTTATTGGGCCTTAAATTGTCCATAATTTTTTTGTTCTTTAAAATTCATCCCCCCCGGCTTCCCACCCTCCATGGAGCCCGCACCTTTGGGAACGCCTTATTTCAGGCGTTAGGATTACCGGGAGAATATAGGGACGCGAAGAAGTTGGCTCACAGCGCGACATCGGGAGCTCGATCCAGCTGGTAGATGGGGCTGACAAGGCCCATCCCCACCACCCGAATAAACTGTCACTTGCTCCGTCAGCATGGCCTTTACCACCACCCAGCCCCCTTTTCAGGAAAATTAGGCAGCCCCCACATCCCTCGCTTGCGACCCTCTGACGGGGCGCTTGGCCATTTCCCTATCTGTGGCTAGCAGATAGGGCCACCGTTTAGCTTGAAATCCGGACCAAAGAGGGCGTGTTGCCTCTCGCCACTATATACCCCAGCGACGATCGGCACAACCCTCCAGGACTCCTTCATCCCCGCGTACGGCGCTCGACTGCGCAGGTCCTAGCGCAGGTGGGTGTGTTAGTCCACCGGATACACCCACTCTCTCCGGCGGAACCGTCCCCTCCTCCTTTCTCATCCGGGCTTGGGACCGGCAGTGGCGGAGTTAACTCTTATGGTATAAATGGTTACGTTGTATACCATCGTCTGTCTGAGGCCACAAGTTCTTCCTGGCATTTCACATAATTAACCTTAATTTTCATTTTTTAACAACACTTACTGAACGAGATTGGGTGCTCGATTATTTTTCGCCACAACTGCACACTTAACTTTACTCAAAAAATTACTGATATAATGTTCTTATTTTTGCCTGAAACTATATATGTATTATGAAATAGTCACATTTTATTTTAATCTTCAAAACAATAACTTTAGTAATGGTTGTCTTTTAACCAATGCGTTATAGGTGACTAACAATTACATACTAAACTTGTTGCAGTGAAACAACTCAATCGACAACTGATTGCTATTGGACAATTCATTATATCGATCTTTGCTGGTTTCCTCTTCGGATTTAGAGGAGTAGAATGGATGGTTGGAAACCTTGATTTTGGATTCAGACTACTGCTAGGTGTTATGTGTGCCTTAGTTATTGCTTTGGCTGAAATATATTTCTTGGCTAAGAAATTAAATGAAGAGTTAAATGTGCCTGAAACGGTACAGCTAGGAGGACCACCTAAATTTGTAAACGAACCTTACTTTGGATATAAAGATAAGACTTCAACTAATAAAGAACATCAAGATTAATGAGGCAACTTTTTAATTTTATTTATGTGTGAAGAGTCACAAGTGTTTTTCACATACTTCCATTATGTAAAAATAAATTCCATTATTGAAAATATTTATTCAATCAAAAGTACCTCTAAATTATTTTTGTAAATTTTTCTAATTGGTAAAAGCCTAGCAGTTTTCCTTTTTATAGAAATTGTAACCAAACCAATATATTATATTATATTGTATAGTGTAAACATTATTTTTCTATTTTCTTAATGTAAATGATGCATTTATAAATGTTACTTTTATCTTACTTCTATCACCATTGTCTAACTACGAGAGTTGGCTGATAAGTTCGCGGCCTAAGGTACTAAATGAAAAAATATATATTAATAATTTTTTTTTATTTTTCAATATTATCTCTTCGAGTAAGATACACTTTACACCATGTCTTTGAACCATTAAAAATTATTCTTTACTTTGCTCTTAAAATTGTTTCATTTTTTTATTTGAAAAAGTAATAAGGAATGAAAGGAATGTACTACAAAGTACTCATCGGTTGTCAGTTCTCAGAGCTAATGGCTGATCAGATAAAAAGTTTATTTATTACCTGTGAGTGAGTGACCTTACCTAAGGTGTCTAACTTATTGTCCTTCGTCCTTAAATCCACCAGATTGTTAAAATATTTAACATTAATGTAATGAATGTTGGCTAATTGGCTTTATTTCATATTGATGTAATAATTGTTTTGGACTTTTTCTCATTAAGCAAAATGTTAATGCTACATTAATATATTAAAATAATATTATATAAGGGAAAGTTAACGCTATATTAATATATTATTTTATTTGTTAACACAGTTTTGATTTACTCATCGTATTTATAGTGTCCATTTATTAAAGACTATAAAAATCCACTGCTGAACATAAATTGGCTCATAAGTGAGATTTTGCCTAGCATAGTTGCCACATTTGGGAGGCGGGTAGGCAAAAGTTTTTTACTATTTTAAATTGTAATTTGGACGGTGCTGCTGCTGTCCATCTCTTGTTTCGGTTTCCCTTTGTAACCTCTAATGGCAATATTCTTACACTGCCAGTACTAGACAAAAGAACTACCAATCCACCTGATAGTATGTGATTGCGGGTTCCTGTCCTGCCCACAGCAATGGAAGCAGTTGGGCGTCGCTTCGCGATCATGACAACCCTATCTATCTTATACACAGCGTGTAATAAAAACCTACTATGACTTAGTCGGACAAAATCAACAACTTCGGGCGTATATTCCCAATAACTAGCAGCATGGGTGACATGCACATTACACATGATCTCTTTCTTCTCTTTGTTTGTGTTTATCCTATGAACTTACCGTTGGGAGACACTACCTATTAATACTAACGTCATTGAGCATAGTGCTAATGTTCGCATTACATCCAAACTGTTAAATTCATCGTTCGTTATACGCCTTACGCACGCCATCTTTTTTTTTATAGAATAAGGGTGACAAACGAGCACACAGTCCACCGATGGTAAGTGGATGCTGTGGTCCATAGACATCTACATTTATACTTGCTTAAGAATTAAAACGCAGATACGTTGTCACGCCTGAGGACCAAGAGGGGATGCCTCATTTCCAGTAAAAAGGGTCTCCGGATTTCTACTTTCACCATACGAAACACAGCAGTATTGACTGTATGTCTATGGACCACAGCATCCACTTACCATCGGTGGACTGTGTGCTCGTTTGTCACCCTTATTCTATAAAAAAATATTTTTATTTAATAACGATAATCAAACCTTATCTGCTTATCACGTTCCTTTCCATTCCTAGGGTTGTCAGGATATAAAAAATTGTCAATAGAAATTATCGATCTTTCTATTATCGTTGCTAATGTAACATAGGTATAATAATTGGGTTTAATTTAATTACAGACGTTACTAAATTAAACGAATATTTTTAATATAAAATGCATTTATTCTCTTAAAGGAGTACACCCCAAATCCATATCTGAATCAGTTTCTGAATCGCTAGAACAATCTTGTAAATTTATTATAAACTCTTGTTCACAAATATTATCAAATCGGACGTCCCGCTCCCAATCTTCTTCCATTAGTTTTCTGCATTTGGTTACCATCTTCTTCCAGTCTTCTGCAGATACATTGTCGACCACACCTTTTAATAACTGCAACATTTTATTTGCCGTGAAAGGCGGTGTTGTGTTGTATCTGGTAGCGTAACCTTAAAAGAAAACATATTTTTAATAAGATTAATTAAACAGTAGTTAATAATTAAAGTACCTATCTAACTGAAATTCAAGCAAACAAACCTTTGACTTGGGCCCTAATTATATCGGCATAATTATATGGCGGCACTAATTAGGTCGGCATGCCCATAAAGTATGACATTGACAGGTACTGTCTGTACTAAGAAATTCAGGACTTCATAGGCGTGATTTTACTGACAGCTGTCGCAGAGATCAAGCTATCTTTTATGAACCATAAGTACATGGAAGATTTCAACACGGAGGATGTCGTGTCCGTTCAATATTATATTTAAATGAAACTAAGCAACGTAGATATGCACTAACATAAAATAAAAAGAAACTAAAAATGGGTTAACGATTACTCTAATTTATAAAAAAATAAGGAGGGAACGAAAGTTCACTTACAGTATAGTATCGGCGTAAATTAATCCATCACTCCTCTACGTACACCATCACACCTGGAGGTATAGTAAGAGGCGACTATGGGAAACGCCAGAAAAATGTAACGGCTTTCGATATATGGCGCTATTAACAAATCAGTTACGTCAGAGCCAGACATAAAATACCCAGACTGGTTATTCGTACCCAGACTGGCTAGTTGTACCCACACTGGCCAGCTACGTCAAAGATGCGAGATGTATTGTATTGCGATAGTCAATTTACTTGCAAACCGTGAAAACTATAATAAATCACTCCTGAAATGGAAGTGGTCCATGTCTTGCAGTAGACTTTTACGGGCTAATGATGAAGGATAGAAGAAGAATTGATAATTTTTGCGTCATAAAATAATGCGATAAAACTTTAGAGTAATGCGACCGTCTGACACACTCCACACTTCGGATCCACTCCTGCAAGTCACTTTGTTAATTTTCATTGCAAAGTTCTAGGTATTACGTTTTAAGCGAATTCGTGGGATAAAAAACCTCATTATATACATCATAATTCATAACCGATGTGAACCCTAGAAATCTACCTAGGGTGCTGTGGTAACTTTGGTAGATAATATTTTTTTAACTAATGGCAACAGCTTCGTTATTTTTTTCTAATCTCCTGTCAATTTATGTACCTATACCGTTATTTCCAATAAGTCAATGATTTTTTCACAGCATTTTTTACTAATTGAAAATTGACTGTCATACCGGTAAGTATTGTAAATAATAATTAATGCAGGGTGCTGTGGCTCCCATGGGTAGTAAAATACACAAATATTTCAAATAAATCAGTCTCTTATTTTTAGCTATAAATATTGTAATATCTATGTTCTTCTATGTAGAAGTGCATTTATTTTGTAGGTTGTAAGTATTGTGAAATAAGATGGCGGGTTCTAGAAGAGAGTTGACGAAGAGCATTGAGCGGTTTCTCGCGTATGATTCCGATGGCGATGTGATCGTTGGAGGCGCGGAGTCAGACGGCGAACCTGATGAAATTATTGAAGAGCTTCACCACGATGGATCTTCATCAGATTCAGAAGATAATCAGACTTTTACAAGCGAGGACGAGTAATTTTCTAAAAGTGTAAGAAGTACCTACAAGATTATATGGTGCAAACAGTTACAAATGGAGTGGCAAAACTCCGCAATTCTCGGGACATACTCCAAAACGAAATATTATATTGCACCCACCCGGTAATAAAAGACCTGCTAAACAAAGGGGATTGCCCATTCTTCATAGACACTTCGGCCATGGGTGCCCACATATAAAAGCATATAGATATGATAATATGCAATTAAAACAATGAAATGGTTAAGGAATTGCTTTAAAAAAAGTCAGGGTTTTGAAGATATATAAGTTTTTATTTTCACAAATGCAGTTTTTTTAACAACTATTTTTATCGATTTTATCGCGTTTTATTTCTTTGATTTTTAATTCCAGACGTTTCGGGTGCTTTCCAACACCCATGCTTAAGGCGGACTGAGGTGACTGACGTCTCAATGTCAGTGTTAACCCAGAGTACCTTCAGATTTTTAATTTTTATTTATGGTCCGATCTACAGAATGAACTTACTGTGTCTTGAAGTCTTGCAATGGTATGCTTGGGTTTAATTTTAATTTCATTAATTACAGGGTCTTAAGCAGGTGGTAGTACCAAGCCTCCTTCTCTATTGAAATTTTTTTTTTATTTCAATAGTCTCAGGTATCGGTCCTTGATAGGAATTGATGTACCTTTTAGAGGATTTGTGGTCTATCAAATCTTTTTTATACGTCTATCTGGTTGGGGCCGTCCAGGATATGATCACAAACTGCAAACTTCCCTGAACCTTGATGCTTCATGTCAGCTCGCTTCAAGATGTAGCCAATCTTGTCTGTGACACCCCTGACAAATGTTAGTACTGCACATGCTTGACTGTGGCCGGCTTCACTCGGTCACTGTGACGTAAGCGCAGGCCTGAAGCTTGTTGACGTGCAGAACCTGCTGCTTGACGTGCTGAAGCTCGACGGCTCGATGTTTGCTGCCACAGATCCCTTGTGCTCTCTGTAACAAAGATTTGCTCACGGTAACTAACTGTGAAGGATAATGGCGAAATTCATTGTTTTCTATACATAATGTAGACCTATGGTGTTGTTAGAATTTTGGATGACTAACGCATCTAGGAAAGCTAAGGAATTATTTGCATCTAATTTACACATCAATCATTTAGGAACTGAGCAGGAAGCAAAATATTAGTCTGATGCCGTGCCCAACCCAAATACCATATTACTGTCATAACATGGGCACAGCATCCAACAGTTCGACGGCCGACAGTACTTTTTAATTGCACTTCTACCAGAACCAT